TCATTTTGCTAAAGCATTATCCATCTTAGCATCATGTCTGATTTCTGAATGAGATTGACTCAGTCAGTAGGAACAGGCCTATAACTTATACTGCTTCTCATTTCCTGAAGCGCTGGAATTGTGCTTCTCCCTAATGTTATTTTATTAAGATGTGATTTGTCATCATATTGCTGAAAACAAGATAAAATGCAGGGTAATTAAATTTCTTATTTAACTCGATGAGCATCTGCTTTCTGTAGTCATATTTTTTAAGCAGCACCTTTGTAGTAGTTACTCAGTCTTTGGACATAATAATATTTGTTATGATCAAAACAGGCAAATAAAGTACCAGAAATAAGTAACCACATGTTATGGCACCTAGTACCATATAATTTATAATAATACATGTATTCAACAGCTTCTACCCCAAGTTTCCAACAAGGCTTTACAATGCCCTGATCTTCCAAACAGCTATTACAATGCATGACACCTGCTGCTACAAGCAGTCCTTTTGACATCAACGAGACGGACCGATAGCAGTCGGAAGTACATGGCCCCTCCTTCACAGATATACAAACTCAGGTTCCCTTTGCTGACATCTTAAAGAGCAGACTTGCATTTCTAGTGGACAGGGTTTGGCTCTGACTGAGCAAATCATTTTATTCAAGGGACAAGCTTAAGCATAGACTTAACCCCTAAGATGTGCTAATAACCTATTGAAGTCCTTGGGATACTAGAACATGTTCAAAATTGAACTCATGCTTAAGCACTTTGCTTGAGAGGGGTGGATAAGCGCTCAGAGCCATAGCACTGTGTTACTGGTTCACTGCTGACCACAGGGAGGACAGCCACATACCGAGTCCTCCTTTATTATTAGTGAAGCATTGACTGCTTGCTTACTACTGTAAAAAGCACAGCAGAGGTGGGCACGTTTCAGTAATGGATGAAGTATATCAGTCACCAGCCTTTGTTCTGGAAGAGCCTTTGTAGCAGGCTTCACCTACTGCCAGTCGGCGAAGCCCCATGGATAGTTCATCTTCTAGAGCAGACCCTTGGGCCCTAACACTGTTTGGATCGCAAACAGTAGTACTGACTGCCATGCTCTTCTCAGGGCTCCTTACTTCTCCCTTTCTCTGTGACATTCCCCATATCAGCTCTCCCCTAACAGTCACAAAACTGTCTCCTTCTCTGTTTCCTATCCTGACTATTGATTCACCACACTCTGCCTGACCTATAACTGCCCTGCATGCTCAGCATGTCTGGAGAGTGCTTTGAGATCCTCCAATGAGAAACACTACTGCTGTGCAATGCAGAAGCACTATTAATATTGCATTGATGGTTAATTATTTAGTGTAGGTGACCTTTCAGGCTGCTGCCTAAAGGACTTCTCTGTATAGCTGGGAGATGGGCCCTGATTATCTGGGTCTTTCCCACCCCAAGAAGACTAAACTGCAACAGGCCGGGGCTATGGCCAGATTTCAATCAATAGGAGCCTCAAGTTGGGCTCAAAAGGTCAAGACTTTGGCAATAGATAAGTTGTTTGTCCTTGAAAGTGAGGCCCCTAATATAAGATAGATTTGGGAACCCAACTTTTAATTTTTTTTTAAAGATATTGGTCTATCCTTCTGCCAGTGGTGCAAGACATAACAGCTAAGAGACTGTTTGGTTTTACAGCACCAGTGCAACAAAAGCATAGCAGTACAAAGATCACTGTGTGCTGCGTAGGCTGCAGTTCTCAGCTGAAAGTGCAAGTAGGAACCTTGTTGAGGCAGGTGGAAGCTGGAAAAGACAGGCTGTAATCTTTTTGAGGGGTTGTACTGTAAGCAGAAGCAGGAAGATTTCTGTGCGCTAGAAAAATCCAGGATACTATAGTATCTTCAAAGAGGAGGGGGCGGCCCATTTTCTTTTCATTGGGTGTTGCAATGTCTGGAAGAACTGTCTACCAAGACAGCTGTCAGTGTGGAGGAAGAGAGAGAGAGAGAGAGAGAGAGACAGAGAGATCAACAGCCCTGTGCAAGCTGCAGGAAAAGCTGCATGGCTCTCCCAGTTCAGGGTATTGGGATTCATCAAATCTATTGTGCGTTCAGTGCTCAGCATCTGGTGGTATAAGAGAGATGGAGACAAAGGGGAAGAATTTGGAGAAGACCAACAAGAACAGGTGTAGCCAGAGGGAAGTGAATTAGGGGAGACAGGTCTGAGCCACTATGTTCAGCTTCAGATCAAAATCCCCAACTTTCTGAACAATTAGGGCTACTGGGGTTTGACACCCTGGTTCCACCCCTTCAGGAAATGGGCCCAGGCTGTGAAACACAGATCCAGGCATGACTCTAAAGGCTGTGGGATGAGGAGTATAGGCTGCTGACCCACTTAAAAGTCCAAAAAGCCCTAAAGTCACTCTGAGAGCCTGGAGCAAACCCTTTACAACAGGACTCAGCTTATTATCTGAGCACAGAACAAAGCTATTCCCTGAACCAAAGCAGGGTCCCAAGAGGCCTTTCCTTTTCCAGCTCTTCCCCTAGTCCCAAGGGCTAATAAAGCTCTCCTCCTCCCTTTCCCTGAGTGATTCACTGTAAATCACTTGATCAGTCTCTGCTGGGAGGTAGCTGGTCTGGGGACATGAGGTTGGGTCCAGCTCTCCTTAAAGGTTCAAGGAAAGCTTCAGCTCAACGGTTCCAGTCTGATCCTATATTTAGCTGTGAAAAAAGAGAAAAAATACAAATCTGAGTAACAGGATTAAATATTAATCAATTAACTAGTCTATGCTGCAGTCAAGGGCAGACATACCTAGGATGGCCCTAAACTAGCTCGCTCAGGGACCGATAACAGTAGATGGGGGTGGGGTGGGGTGGGGTGGGGGGATGTAAAATGAGTACCCATATCAGTCCTCAAGGTAGTGAGTTTAAAGACACAAAAGTATGCAAGGATCACCTAGTCCAACTTGTAGGTCCACCTGTGTAACCTACAGTCAGAGGAGTGACTGCCTCATTGGCATGCTCTAGGAGGAAACATGAGGTTTGTCTCCAAGTATCTCAAAGGTGCAAAAGAGGGGAGTCACCAAGGTTGTTTCAGGGCAAGGGGTCAAAATGAGCAAAGGAAGGTTTAGGCAGGACATCACAGAGAATATCCAAGATCAGTTAATGATGTAATGTAGGAAGCTGTGGCAAGACTTCTTTAGGTCTCATCATCATGGCTGTGCTGACACATGGGAATCAAAGATCAGTTAGATTGCAGAATAGCCCTAAAATCACAAGTCTCTTCCATTTCAGAGAAAGGAGAATCCCCTTTAGCCACTAATAGCACAGGACCTCTGATACACAGCTCACCGCTTCTAATTTCACCTGGCAAAGGGCAGCAGTGACACAGTTATATCAGCCAGCTCACTTTATGAAAGCAGGAGTGTGAGGACATTAGCTGCATGTTAGCTGGTACACTTGCATGTGTACACAGTGGTGCGTGTGTGTGGACTCACCTGTGTCTCTGTGTGCATATCGGCATCTGTGCAGAAAGGTGGGGTGTACAATGCTGTGTGTTTGTGTCTGTGCATTTTGTGTGTGTTTTTATCCAATGAAGGTGCACCCATGCATAGAAGAAGTGTGTGTGTGTGTGTGTGTGCGCGCGCGCGTGCGTGCATATGCTATCCAGGTTGTAGCTGGATTGGTCTAGAGGAAAGTGCAATCGGGGCTCTTGGTAGAGGTGTGATAGCTTACAAGATTTTTGCAAAAAAAAGTCTTTAATTGCAAGCTTTCAGGCACAAATATCTTTCAACAGGCATCAGAGAAAAGATTGTAAAAGTGCTTCTGGGTACAAATGTGTGTGCATGCACGTGTGTGTGTATGCATGCACGTGCATGTGTATATATGTGTGCGTGTGCATGTGTGTATATGTGTTTGCGTATATATGCATGTGTGCATGCACGTGTGTGCATGCGTGTATATGCGCGTGCATATGCACCTGTGTATGTTTGTGCGTGAGCATGTATGTGTGTGTGTGCACGTGTGTGCATGCATATGTGTGCGTGCGTGTGCACACCCTCTCTGCTAGAGGGACAAGTCGCACACTTACCCATTACATTATCTGTCACGTTGTGCCTTCCAGCTTTGGCTTGCCCCTGCTTTTCTCTGATGATGCGCTCCTGACACGTGGCAATCTTGGCTTTTTAAGCAGGAAGTAATTCCAGGATGACCTTTTTCATTCAGAGTGACAGAGAGAGGGTTGAATAAGCACTAGTTCACGGCACTGTCAGCGGCCCCTAATCCTGTGGTGCCGAGAGGCTGGGGAACGATGTCCCAGCAAACGCGGACGGCTGCAGGACCCAGGCTCGGGGCTGGGCCTCCACTTACCCTCCCTGCATTATACCCAATGTGGCTTCGACCGCCCGGCCCCACCATGTCTCCCCCACCTTGGTGCCCTCTTATTCCCAGTGCAACCAGCTGAGCTCTGGGGTGGGGGTGGTGGACCGTTGCTGTATGTGTGTGTATGTGTGTGTGTGGGGGGGGGAAGTGCATCCCATAATAATACTGCTGGGGGGTGGGGGTCATTGAGGCACGGCAGGCCCCTCTGCAGAACCCATCACCACAACAGAAAACTACAGCTCCCAGCATGCCCCGGGCGTCCCGGCATGCCGCGCGCCCCGGCCCCTCCCCGGAGGCGCTGGCGGCGCAGTGTCTCCTGGGAGTTGTAGTCCGCGCGGCTGCGCCCCATCAGCGGCGGGAGCTGAGCCCCAGTGGGCCTCCATCAAGGTGGGGGAGAGGGCCGTCATTCTTTTAGGAGAGGGGTCAAAGGTGGTGACCCCTGAATGGGGGGAGGGGGGGTGTATTGCTTCCTTTGGCCTAGGGGTGGTGCCCCTGGTTTTGAGGCCTCAGTTTCCATTTCCTGGGCTCGTGAGAGGCTCACGGGTACATCGCGGTTGTGTGGGGGCGGCGGGGAGGGATGCACATGCCTTCTGAGGGGCACGGATAAAATGGCATATTTTTACTTTTCCTTTTTTTTTTAAATTTATTTTTAATTTTTAAAGGTGCTTGCATCCCAAATTCGCACCGAGCGCGCGGTGCTCAGGCGTGGAAGATGTCCTCCGGCCTCACGGAAGAGCAGAAAAGAAGGATCGAGGAGAACAGGCAGAAGGCGTTGGCTCGGAGAGCAGAGCGGCGCGCGGCAGCGGCGCGCGGGCAGGGGGAGGTCGGGAGTCCAGTCTCCCAGTGCCTGGGTCCAGCAAACCTGCAGCAAGACAGCTGGCATGTCGGGTCGTGTAGCTGGCCCCAGCCGGCCGCTGGTGGACAGGGGCAGCAGAAGGACGGCGTTGAGAAAGGGCTGAATCCCATCGATGCGCATCCGCCGGTGGCTGGTTTGTGTGGAGCGCAACCGAATAATTATCCCCAGGGCTCAAACCAAGCAGGCGGCCTGAGGCCATTACCGCCAGCGGATGCCTGGAGTCATTCCCACTTACCTCGCTCAGGAGCACAGCATCAGCTAGCATCGCGGCAGCCGAAGTACTATTTGGCAAGCAAAAACTCTACAGAAGCCTTGTGTCCTCGATTTGCAGACAGCGAGCACGCTGATGTACGCTGTCAAACCAAATACACGCCGCTGCCAAGCGACCCGATGCTGACGGATGCTGGCAGGCCCACGTGCGGACCCTGTCCCGAGAAATATGGTGGCAGCAGTGTGTCTCATTTCTACAGTACGGTGCAGCCCTTTGCCCCGTTGAAAGAGGCTATGGTGCAGGAAAGGGACAGCTCTGGTGGTGGGAGCTCTTCTGTTCACAGCAAAATAGGCTGTGCTCTCAAAGGGAGGTGTGTGAGACACGGTGGAGACCGCTTCCAGGTTGAAGTGGGTTACAGCGCAGAACTCATTGCCGTGTTTAAGACCGTACCTAGCAGAAGTTACGGTAGGAGTTCTCACGCCGGTTTTAAGGTTGGATTTATATCTGTGTCGTTACATTGGATCTTGGTCTTTTAAACAACTATGCATATATTTCCTGTTTATACGGGAAATGCAGCCATTGCCCTGATGGAGTATGGCGATAATGTTACATATCATTTTTATTGTGGATGTGAAAAATAAGGCAGATAAAGCTGCAGAAGAACACAAGAAGTAAATTGCTCACATGGCCGTTTTCCCAAGTCATCCGACTTGAAACCCCTGGCTTTTTGAAAAGGACCGAGATTTTAGTGACTCCAGGTGGTCTGAACTTTTCAGGAGGGCTGTTGGGGATGCAGTAATGGTTAGTCGGTTTTAGTTGCCCTGGAGTAGGCTGATAGCCACGGCTCTTATCAGTACCAGCCCAACCATATAGCCTCCAGCTGTCCTGTTCACTAAAAGGAGAATCTAGATGTCCTTATGTGTGGTGTCTCCCCCATCTTAATTTGCAAAATCCTCTGTCCTTGTTGCACTCTCCTCCTTTCTGGGATTTACATCCTTCGGCTTCTCATTTTTATGGATGTATAGGTTTTGTTGCTCCAGTGCTTAGTCCTCCTGGAGTTGTATTTCTAGCTGTCCTGCACTTTTATTATCTAGGAACAGTAGTCTTGTGTGGCACGTATGAAGGGTCTGCAAGGATAGACTGGATTACCTTTTGCCTGGTATTTAAATATTTAACATGAAGTCATTTTTCCCATCCACAAATGACTCAAAATCTGTCCTTTTTCAGATCCGGCTACGAAGATGTGGAATTTTAGCCTGGAAGACTACTGCCATCTCAGTAAGTCACAGAACTGTTGAGTGATAAGCAGGATCAAAGACTTTGTCTCCTGCTTTTATGATTATTGTCTGACGTATTATTTCTTGGAGCAGTAGAGAGGCAAAGCTGTTCAAACAGGGCACCTGTTTTTCAGGCATCAGGCTTATGAGATTCTGCTGTGAATCTCAGTAGTTGGTCAGAATTAACTGAGGTTTGAGGTGTTATCTAAATGCCAAACAGAATTTTTTTCTCAATCGCTTACTGAATATTTCAGAAGCTAACAAACTACACTCTAGGCAAAAATGGCTCAGTTCATAAAAGTACTTCATGTGAGGCCATGTGGAAAAACTGAAGATATTCCAGAAGTGCAGCTGGCTAATACTGTATTGAGAAACTGAATCCAATGCTATTTCTTGAACTGAAAAAAAAAATGTTGGTTTCTTGATATATATTTTTTTTGTTCATTTTCCTATTATTTGGATGGGTAGAAAGTGAATTATTGTGATCCCCTGGGTATTGTGTTAAGCTGCCAGTGCAGTTGCCTTGGTATGTGGAATATCAGGCATGAGGTTTTTTTTTTCATTCTGGACCAGGGGAGATAAGGAACGGTTACAAAGGTGACACATTTCAAGTGGGCTGTTCAATGCAAGCAGCACGGACTTCAAGGAAATCAGTGTGAACAGTTAGGCCAATGCTGGGCGTTTTACAGACTCCACCCCTTAGGCCTGATTTCAGCTTCCCACTGTCTTGCCAGGTATTTGTTACATACTGGCTTTTTTTTCCCCTGAAGATATTTAAGAAACAGAGGAGTCCCTGCTCCAAAGAGTTTACAGTCTAAGTAGGCAACTTGTAGCTGCCATGTCAATGTTTTTAAAATATCCTCTCAAATAATTCTGAAGTGTGAGCTCATCGCTGAAGACACATGGTGACAAGCATCTGGTGTTAGCAGAATCAGAAGATGCTTGCAAAAATATCCTGAGAGTTGCAAACACTGTGGTTAAAGGGACTAGTGAGTTGAAATCCAAGTAATTTTTTTAATTTAAGCTTGATGCTGGGTTTTACAAGCCTCTGATGAAAGTTTCTTTGGCTTTACAATTACATTTTCCTCTATTAAAAAAACCAAAACAAAGCACTGCTTCCTGTATATTGCGAAAACACAATCAAGTGGAGAAACTGCAGTGTTCCACCTGCCTCTTCACAGATCTAATACAGTAAAGAGAGAGACACTTTTCTCTAATGGCTTTTAGTTATGGCTATCTTAAGGCTAGAATTTAACAACATTTGGCAAACAAAACCCATGCACACCTAGAAATGTAATTTTTTTTAAAGGTTGTTTCAGTTTCTGGGGTATAGGTTGTAGCCTTGTTGGTTTAAGGACATAGGCAGACAAGGTTCTTTGGGTAAATCTTATATTTCTGTACACTTATCTGTTTATAAGCCTCATTTCTTGTTCAGTACATCTGAATTTTTCCTTTTGGTTTGAAATTTTAACCTCAATCTAGAGGCATCTTAGGGAGGAGAAGAGGAAATCCTTTTGGCCCATTTCTGCACCCTGATGGCCTGTCCCTGAAGCGGGGGAGCAGGGCTGGTTGTGTTACCAATTTCTGCTCAAGAGAACTGTGCCCTAGACTACTTGTCTCCTGTCTCTCCCCTTCATCGCAGAGCATCCCATGTCTTTTAGCAGGTCTGAAATTAGCTCCTGCCTTTTTTTGTCTTTCAGAATCTCATACGTTACCCAACTCTTCATTTTTTTTTGCCATGCCTTTCATTCTTTCTTCTCTAGTGAACAAAGTAAAGGAACTTTCGTCGGTGACTTTGACACCGTTGGAAGGGATGAACGCAGCCAGCCAGGTCCCATCTTCTGATTCCATCAGCACCGGCCCTACACTAAAAACCCTCTTGAAGACATGCAGTGGCTGGCAGAAACCCTCTGCCATCGTCAAGGGCAAGTGCGTGCTGCTTTCGCGGTCCCGGTTTGAGGTTGACATTGGATATGACGCAGAAATGATTGGGGTGTTTAAACAGATGGGTTCCAGGAATTACGGTGAGTCCATGGTTTGTAGGCTGTATTACTGTAATGGCATTGTTGGTGCCAACATTTTTTCATGTTTCTGAGGTACCTTGGGATATAAAGCTGATGAAGTGCTATGCAAGTGGCAGCCTGCTCTGAATGCAGATGGAAACATTCTCTTTAGGTTAGGGTTTGGATCTCTGTTGGGATAATGGTGGGATATCTCCATACTGTACCTTGCATTTTGCTGCATGCCAGTGCAAATGACTTCTCGTCATGTCCAGAGGTAAATACCACAGAAAACCTCTCGGAGCTTGACTGAAGTGTCAGAGAAATGAGTTAAAAAAAAAATCAGCCTGTGCCTGATCTGGCTCATCTTCCTGCCTGTTTGCAGCAGATCAGCTTTACCTTTACCGTAGACTTACAATGTGGAGGCAGTCTTGGACAGACCTGCAAGTCTAATTTGGCCCTCATGTTGAACTTTGGTTCCTGGAATCAGTAGCCCTTTAGCTACAAGTTATGATACTCTCCCAAGTTCAGCTTGAGGTCTGACTTCCCATTACTCTGAATGTCCTCTTACCTCTTAAATCTTCCCTAAGCCATTTTTGAAAAGAGAGAAGAAGGGAGAAAAATGCTGGCTGGACAATACAATTCTGAAATGGAGTGAATCTTCACTACTTCCATCACTTCGTAGCACTAGAAGGATTAGTGTTTTAAAAGTTCTTTCTGACAGCTTTTATTTGTTGTTGTAACCCTTACAGACATGAAGACCAGAAAGTGGAGTTTCCTTCTGGAGGACTATCCCAGACTAAGTGAGAAGCTGTATTTTCCTAACAGGGTCTTTTCACTTGGGAGGGCAGCTAATTCTGTTTCTTGGGCTACGTCTTTCTGATCAGAGTGAACTGAGCTGGTAACCAATGCCTGTGCTTACTCTTTTAATGCTGCATTATCTAGATATTTGTCTGGATTACACAAACCTGGGACTTTGTAAATGTGCAGTGTTGTTCACGGTAGTCCTCAAAAGCCCAGTCAAGGTGATGGTCCATTGAGCAGTGTGCTGCACAGCTCCACATGATGGCATGGTCTCGGCCCCTAATAGAATTTCCCTTTGTAAGTTTTGTAAAGCGTGCGTGTGGATGTATGTACGTGTGTGTGGGTGTGCGATGATGGTCATGAAAGTAACGTACATTAGGGGTGGCCTGGAGTCGTATCATGATGCTTGAATGAAGTAAGCAGCAGCAGAAGAGTTTCCATAGAATTGTAAGGCTGGGCGGGATCTCAAAGGTCATGTGGTTCAACCCCTTGCAAGAATGCTATCCCCAAATCATCCCTGACCATTGCTTATCCAGTCTCCCCTTAAAAATCTCCAGTGAAAGAAATTCCATCACTTCCCCAGGCAGTCTTTTGCACTGTCTCACTGTTTTAACGGTATCTAATCTAAATCTACTTTGCTTCAATTTAAAGCCCTTGCTTCATGTCCTGACCTCTGCAGCAAGGGAGAACAGTTGTTTTTCCTCTTTATGACAACCTGTCAGATATTTGAAGTCCGCTACCATGCCCTCCACCCCTGCCCTTAATTGCCTTTTATCAAGGCTAAACCTGCTTAGCTCTCAACCTTTCCTCATACAGCTTGCTTCCCAGCCCCTTTATCAATTTTGTTACCTGCCTCTGGACCTTTTCTAGCTTGTGCACATCCTTCACAAAATGTAGAGCCTAGAACTGCTTCCTGTTCCTCCATTCTCAGATCTGTAGATGAGGTAGGACAGGGGCTGTGCAGAAACTCTAGGTCACGGGATCTCATTTTACTTGTGTTCCCAGGGTCCTCTTCTCCAGCCTGACCCTCCCCTCTTGTGTCAGTCCCTACCGAAGCTGATGCACTGCTACTTGAACTCAGGAGAGTCTGGCTGTTCTGCCCAAATCCCCAGAGATAGCTCAACACAGGACTTGTGCAGTGTGGAGGGTGTTATGCTGGTGAATCACTTAATTGCACTCAGTGATATTTTTATAGGTTGGATTTGCTAAGTTTATAAGTCGATTGATGATTTTTCAAACAGTCAGTGCCACAGCCATGATGTGGGTACTGATCATCCAGCTGGTTTGTTCAATGTTGTACATTAGTGTCAATAATAAAGAGTGCAGTCAGAACACAGCTGGTCGGCTTGTAGCTGATGTCTGAGGTAGGCCAGAACTCAGGTCATTTTCCTGTAGCTGTGTTGACTATAGAGTAAATGGGAGTACCTGTTTGTTTGCTGCAGTTAGATGAGCCTGTTGGCTCAGCTAATTCATGCAAAGCAGCCACTTCCTGCATTATTCATACTCCGTTCAGATGCCCAAATACCAAGGTAATGGGTATTTAATGCTCTCAGTAAAATACATTGGGTGAGAGAGAGTGATTCTGTTTGTCATGAGGCCTTGAAGTGTAACGTTCACTTCTGGGTATAGCCGGGTCTGCAGGCTTCTGCCTTTTTCATCTGTGTGGTGCAGAACAAATTCTGACTTGCCAAAGCAAAGTGGAAAATTGCTTTCTTTTAAAAAGATGGATACCCTTTGCAAATAACCCAAGCACAGCGGCATGCTCCCAGCATGTCCACTTCTTAGTTATGTGTATTTAGTTAATGTTTGTAAAGTGCTCTGCAGATGAAAAGCACTACATAAGTACTAAGTATTATAATTATTTGTTATCATCCCATTCTGTGTGCTGTAAAGGTATAATGTGAGAGGCAAGGATTTCTCAGACTGATATCTTTTCTTGGACCACCTATATAGTTGGGATAAAGATTTTGAGTGCAAACTGTTCTTCATCAGGAAGAACGTAGCAAGTTTCATAGTGGAGTGTCTGCATGCTGTGGGGATAGGTTCCTTTAACATGCTATTAATAACCATGGAGTTGGAAGCCAGGGGGCCCAGTGTAGTTTTTGGAACTGTGAGGAGACAGACAGAACATTGTGTAGGAGCAGATGGCAACCGGCGATCTTCCTGGATCGTGGTGTATGCATGAGGGCCACCCAGACCCTCGGTGCATATGCCTGGAAAGGAATTTTTGGAGGAGTGGAGGCTGTAGGAGCAGATACCTGTGCTGAAACTACATCACAGAGCAGTGATGTTCAGCCAGGGTGCCATCAGACCCTTTGAAGGGTGCCATGAGCTGTGAGAGGGTAAGTGAGATGGGAGGAGATAAGCAGATAAACACGGGCCCAGGCTTGTCTGTGCCTGGCTGCTCCCCCATTGCTTTGCCCCTTTGCAAGGACGCATGCATTGTAATTTATAAATTAGTTTTGAAATTGGGTGCCAGTCAATTCACAGAAGTTATGGGGAGGTGCTTGAGTCCCCCGCAAAAAATTTGAGAACCACTGGCATGTGGAGAGAACTGCTTCCAAACTGTTGATATAGGGGGACCCATACTGGTTTCAGTGGGAGCTGAGCACATCAGCATCTTGCAGAATTGGATCCATCTGCACCAAGAGCCTAATTCTGAAGGGTGCCAAGCAGCTGCTAGAATATGCCCAGTTTGCACAATCTCTCAGTTTGCACTCATCTCAGAAGAAGCATTCAGAGTCTCTCAGGCTTTGGGCCCAAGGAAAGGAGTGAAGGCTCAAGTACATTCATCTTTAGGACTTAATTTACATGTGTATTGTTGGAGTGCTGTCAGGCCTCTCATATGTACTTATCTAAGGGGCAGCATTAGCTCTGCACCTCTTCACTTAACCCAGCAAAAATAGCCTTACTCCTATGTTGTCATCTGCAGCAACATCCTTTTGTGGTGTTTCTGGAGACTGTCTCTGCCCAGCCATCTTTTAATAAAAGGTCACTTTGGAAAGGAAAAGCTTTTGGATTAATCATGCTGGTGGCAGCCGCATTGTAATCACTTTCCCAGTTTTCTTTAGAACAATAGCAAACTGCTGCAATGAAGTTAATGTGAAACTTCACTTGTGAGAGTGTAACAGGTTTGTGTTATACTTTGAGAGAGAGAAATCTCGTGCTGTTTGAAGAGTTTGGGCTATTTTACAAGCACCAATGGAATTATATTATGTAAATATTTTTCAGAAGTAAGGCTTTTTTTCTTAGGGTAGCTAAGGTCCAGTTTGCTACCTCTGCTCTTAGAGATAACTGACATTAAAATAAAAATTTGCATTCTGGAGCTGAATTTGGTGCCTGCACAGCTGCAATGCATAAAATCAGTTAGTGCAAGTTTAAATTTGACTGGCTCGGTTCATTTGTAGAGCTGGAATTATTTTATATTTCTGTAATTTCATATTCTAGTGGCTTAAAAATAAAAAGGTGCTTCTGGAAGCAGTGATGATGTGTGTCTGTGCGTGCCTAGCTTGGTGCTGAAATGTGGTTTTGATGTCTCTGTAAATGGTCAAAGAAAATCCAAAACAAAAATCAATTTAAAAGGTGCACTGGGCAGATCAGAACCATGAAATGATGATAATATTTATTATTTTTTCTTGGAGAAAAAAAAGGTTATGTTACTTTGCATTTTTGGGAAAGGGACAGGGGGCTCAAATATGGGTCTCTGAAAATAGAAACCCCATGGCTTATGGTTTTAAAAGAACCTCCCAGGTATTTTTGCACAGACAGTGCAAGCCTAAAAGTTTGTGCTGCAGATCCTTGTGAAGTGAGATGCAGGTGAAGTAGGATGCAGACTCACCCAGCAGACTTGCTTCATACTGTGTTACCCTGGATTTTACTCTTCGCTAAATTTACTCTTCAGTGAGCAGTGACTGCGTGATAACTCTCTTAAGCTGCCTGAAGAGCTGCTATTAAAGCACCTGGTTGCCCGGCAGCAGAGGATCTAGTTGAGGAAATGGCCACTCTAGAGTGAAACTGAGGATGGTAATGGACAGGTGACATGTATGCTCGTGGGTGGATCTAGGATTTTGAAAAGGGGGATGCAGATGGAGCAGTGCATTGTCACATATAACACAACTACAACTCACATTTTTCTCCAGTAAAAGAGAAACTACAAGCTTTGCTAATATGATAGGAGGCTAGCACTATATATTATTCAGTGTAAGATCCAAGCAAAAACTAATATGGTAAGGGTAAGGATGACCAGAATCTGGACTAGACTTCCCAAGCAGGTGGTGCAGTCCCGAACCTTGGGAGTCTTCAAGAGTAGACTGGACAGACACTTTGCTGGGATCATTTGATCTCAGCAGTATTCCTGCCCAGAGCAGGGGGACTGGACTTGATCTTTCAAGGGGTCTTTCAGCCCTTAATGTCTATGATTCTATGCTTCTATGAAATACAGCTTTATAGGCATATGAACTGATTTGCTAGATTTTATATATAATGTTTAAAAAATGCAACAATCTAGGCAAAAGCCATCAAAAGAAATTATTTTATTAGGCCTGTAGTCATTATCATTAAATGTTCATCTCTTATTCAGGTTTGTAAAGCAAAATCCAGTCTTCTTGGGTATCTTGACAGTGCATCCAACACTTAACACAGGTGTGAAAATGACTGACAGTGAACGTTTCTCTGAATTAATATGACCACACCTGAGTTAAGGTTTTTAGCTAGAGCTAAAAACAGTCTGTAGGGCTGTGAAACAGAAGGGAGACATTACCAGGAATAGACCAAATAGAAAAATTGCAGAAGAAAGGATATGTTGATTACTGGAAAATCAAGACCATTAAAAAAGGAGAGAGGTTTGCTAACCCCTGTGGAGTGAAGAGAGATTATCAGGAACCAGGGAGATGATGATAATGTGCCATGAAGTCAATCGAGTCCATTAGCACTGCCTGCATGGAAGTGCTGCTGCCCCTCTCAGGCAGTTGGTTTTAATGTTTGCTTGCAGCAGGCATCGAAGGGGAGTGCAGCTGCATTAGTACAGCCTCCTGGATCCACCCAACAATTTTTTTCCAGAATAAAATTACTTCCAACCTCCTCGCTTGTATCTTATACTGAACTGTGTGTTCTCCAGTGTAAATGCTTGTGCATCTTGTGTTTGCTTAATTTTTCCTCTGGGTTAAATTGAGACTAATCCAGGGTAAACGTGATGTGTGGCTGCACCTGAATCTAAACACTGATGTTTATCGATAGCTTTATGGCAGATCAGAAAGTCCTGTGCAGCTGCCATAATGGTACAGCATGTCCAGGGATTAAAGCAAGTCTTTTGAAGCCTTACAGTGCATGCGTGTGTCTTGACAAGGATGAGACAGGAAAAGAAACAAAGGCTGATTTGAATTACTTTGTATGTTTTAAAATGATGCAACATGGCATTTATATCTTAACACCATGATTATGCATCATGCAGACCACCCCTACAGCTCTGTCTCAGCAAAGCAAGAGCCCTGTCCCTGTTAGGAGCTGCGTGATCTTGTTTAAAGTAGGTTTCAGAGCACGGTCATAGTCAAAACAGGTTGGATGGAGCCTCTTACGTGAAATGCCTATAGGTGGAATTTATGAGCTAGCTTGAAAAATGCTATCAAATTGGCAAAAAATTCCTTTCCAACTCTTCCTTGCAGCAGGTGAAACTTGCAGAGAACCTTTCATCCTTGATCAGAAGGAACTGCCTTATTTGAAACATGATTATTATTTAATATTTTGAATGGTCACAGCATCCAAAGGCTGCCATCAGGGTCATCTGGTGTATTAGGTGCTAAGTAAAGGTTTGTGGCCTGAGAAGTTCCTGCCTGGAAGAGCTTAAGATGAGTGATGCCTGGAGGGTAGTGGAGGGGAGATACAATCAAACACATGCAGGTTTTATACACTGACATCGTTATAAAAGGTTCTGGGGCTATGACCCTGTCCAGATTGTGGTGTTTCAAATCAGTTTTGCTCAGATAATTCATGAGGGAGACCTCTGCTGTGGGTGTCCTTGGCATTTTAAGGCAAAATTCAAAAGCATTGCCACATCAGACCTTCAGCCCTGCAGTATTTAGGGGAGTGTAGCTGCTCAGTCATACAAAAAAGTGTTTGAACACAGCACTGCAAGGATAAAATAAATGATTAAAGACTCTCTCTCATAGTGGATGGGAGCTGTACAGCTGCCAAGCTAGAAGCAGTTAGCTGGGGGAAAAATACCATGCCAAGCAGTTCCTGTGGAATCAGTCTTGACAGCCAGTTCTGCTTGTAGGTGTAGCCCAACATGGTTCTGAAATGGGTTGTAAGTAACTTCGTTGGACCAGCAAGGGCTGGATCAAGCAAGGCTTTCTTGAGGCATGGGAAGCAGAACATTGGCAGAGCCAGGACTATCCCCTGATGTGTGTTCTGCATATTGTTCTCATTCCAGTAAAACACTGCTGTTGTTTTTTTCAGTGGGAGCCATACAGAGCCTTCCGTCAATAGAGGCAGAGCCGCTACCCAAGCCGGTGATACAAACTTTTGCTGCTCAGCTTGAAGAAACTACCACATATGCAGCAGACATTCCTGATGCTGACCTGTCAGCGGTGGATTCTAAAATCGTGGCAGGCCTCATGCCCTTCCAGAGAGAAGGCGTCAAGTAGGTCCTACCCTTGTGGCCCAAAGAGCTAGTTCTGTGCTTATGGCTTGTCTTCTGCGTTGGCGTGTGCGTGGTGCCATGCATTCAATTTAACACTTACGCAATACAGTTAAAACATGAACAGGCTAACATCTGAGCAGTTTAGGATGTGTTAAGTGCCCTCCTGGCATTGCAGAGTTGTTTCCTTCTAGGCAAGGGTTGTGTCCTAGCATGTACTACTAGCTTTCGTAGGTCGCTACTTGCCAGTGATTTGCAACCATTGGAAGTGAATGGATGGCAAGGCCCTGAAGCTTTCTTTTTTTTTCCTATGGACTGTATTTCCCCTCAAAGATGAGCCTAGAGGCAAATTTCTCCAAAATCCAGCAGTTTGAGGCTTGAAGCAGATTCCACTTGGTTTTTGAAGAAAAGTTTAATGCAGCCCATGGCACGTTTCTGCTTTGTACCTATCCGCAATCCTTCAGAATGACTCAAGAAGGAAATTGTTTTGCTAGGGCACAGTAGAGTATAAAATATTTTCAAGCCTTGTAAAGCTGTCCCACTGGTGCACCTTTGATTTGTCTCTCTGGGCTCAGTAAGTGTACATGCCTCACTTGCTTTTCTTGTAAATCCACCTTGTGTACCCAAGAGCATTGGCAGACTTTATTTTTTTTTTTACAAGCTACACAAAAATGTATTGGAGAGCAGGACTGAGCCCAAAGATGACTTGAAACAAGTGACTGTATATAGAAGGAGCAAGTTAATTTTATTTCATATGGGGCCCATATTTCTTAGCTGTATCAAGCAGCACAGTGACACTGCTAAATCTGCAGCAGCTGCTGTGAACGCTGGGCTCTTAGTAGGGCTGTCCTACCCTGATCAGGGTGAACTGTGGAGCAGGTGAGTGTTTATTGATGAGTACCTTGAAAAGATCACTTTCAAATAACACTGAGGTCCTGGCTTAACTCCCACAGAGTCAAAGTAATTCTGAATTGGGCAGAAATGGGTTGTTGATCATTCTGTTTTACTACAGCACTGCAGCACCCTGGACTCTGCCTGTGCGAAGATTTGCATGGCTATTGATCGTTTGCCATAACGCTAATAGAACCAACTTCTACAGGCTGAAGATCAGAGCTCTGTCTACAGTGTGGGGCAGCAGCAGCTGCTGCTGTGGCTTTAACTACAGCTGCATTGCTGTAGTTAAAGCAGCTTTCGTGCTTTCCTTCCAATAGACTTGCTCTAGCTCATCCAACTGACAGAAGCTGTGCTGGTAGAAGCCGCCTTCTGACTACAGAGTAACATCCGCACTGGGGATTGTGCTGGCAAAACAGTGTCAGTTATGGGATGTGATCTTTTCCTATCTCTAGGAGACACAGCTGTGCTGACAACATGAATGTAGTAGGAGCTTAGGTTTGGCTGTCAGAGGCTTCTGTAATGCCCAAGGACACCTGAATAGCTGAAGAGAATGAGGCTTTTTTGCTTTTTAGGTAAATAGGTGGTTCAGTGATGTAATGAAGGAACAGTCTAAGCATTTGGGCCCAGTGTGATTTCTGCGGACCTGTAAAATGCAGTTCTGCACTGAGAAATGTTGGTGTCAGAAACCACCTTCTCTCGTCAGCTTTACTCCCTGTATGTAGTTGTGTCTGCCGATTTTTACGGTGCCTATACTTGTGTTCTGATGCATTCTAATTGGACTGCATCAGAGCAGGCTCGATTAGTAGAGGCTCTAATTAGCATCGGTGCAACATCATGTGTATAAGCCTCCACAGATTTAAAAATGGTTGCTGGGGCTTTTTTAACTAAAGCTTGTCAAATGAGTTTTAGTTAAAGTGTCCTGTGACCATTTTTAAACCTGTGGGGGCTCAATACACTTGATGTTGCGGTGATTTAATTAGAGCAATTCTCTGGGAACTGTTCTAATTAAAACGCCCCCTCCCCCAGCACATGTGTAGGCACCCCTAGTGACTACAATCAGTTTTACCTCTGTTAACCTTATAAAGCCATCTCTGCTGGAAACAGAGACCTGGGTTTCATTGCTCATTCTATACTCTAAATAGCATCCTCCCCAGTTAGCGAACTGTGTCAAGCAACCGAATGCCCTTCAGCAGGATCTTTGGAGGCGTAATCGGAAGACAGTATGGCTGCACAGGTATTGCTGGAGGCTTCATGTGGTCTGCTGGACTTCTACTCTTTGTGACAAACCAGAAAGACCCCCAGCTTGGCTCAGGCTGAATTTGCAGGCCCTGAGTTGGAGGAGTTGGTTAATCATTCCATTCTCTACTGCACACATGTGGGCCTCACAGATTCCATAGGAAGTAGATCCTAACTAGGCCCTCTGGTTCTCTGAGAATAGTGAAGGAATGCATAGATATGGGAGACTGGAGATGAGAGGGTAGTTCAGAGATGGTCCTTGCCAGTTAAGGCATCTGAGCAGGGCAGCATGGGGAAGTCTGTCCTGCTACTGCCTGTACCAGTTCAGGGCCAGAATTTTGCAGGACTGTCCATGAAGCACTGAGTATCTTGTTTTCTTCTTTCGCAGAGCCTGTGGTGTGTCGTAGACCAGTGGCCTGTGAAGGAAATCTTAAACTATTTCTCTTTCCCCTTCTTGGCTAATGATCTCCTTTCCCTGTTCTAGACTGGAGGTGAATTGTACTTACTTTGACTAGCAGACAGGGGATGGAGTAACCCTTTACCTTGTTATCTTTCAGTTTTGCCATCTCAAGAGAAGGCCGTTTGCTCCTTGCAGATGACATGGGCTTGGGGAAGACCATCCAGGCTATCTGTATTGCTGCCTATTACCAAAAGGAATGGCCTCTACTGGTGGTGACGCCTTCTTCAGTGAGGTTTACCTGGGCTGAGGTACTGCATGTTTGGCTAAAGCATTTGAGGCTTGCCTTGCCTTGCATGTTAATAGCTTCTGTAGGGGCTGGCCTAAATTGCCACCCACCCAGTTAGAAAGTTATGGGGGAAAAGCAGGAAGGACTGAGGTTCACTACCCTCTGTGCTCATAGGAAATAAGTCCTCTGGCATATACCTGCCAGGGACAAATGGCTGATCCTCATTCTGTGTCCTGGAGGAAGGTTAGGCATAAGATCTCTGCCAGTAGGTTGCAAAAGGAGAAAAATTCCTCTCTGACCACATGGAATGACCTGGTTTAATATGTTGCGCGTGTGATCCTGAACAACTGTAGTATGGCATTTGAATATGAATCATGCACTACATACGACTGGCATCCAAGCAGTTGTCCCCAATTTTTGAAACCTACTAAAATGGGTTCTGCTCAAGTCTTCATTGATATAGAATCCCAGGTGCTGGAATTCTCCCTCTTTGTTCACTACGTTTCCACCTTCACTAAGTGTCATTAGTGCCTGTTCGTGGTAAAATTTGGTCTCTGTCATTAATCTACAGACCCCTCAGAATCCTTTCATTATCACCATTAATCAGGAGTCTGACATAAAGCCATAGTCAAGACCTTGAGATGGGCTGGTCTTGAGGTTTGGAAATGAATATGATTGGAAGAAAGCAGCGCTTCAGGGTTTGTCCATGAACACAAATTGTAGTGTGATTAGTTCAGTGATTCTCAACCATGGTGCCATGCAGTTTTAGCACTCTTATGTATACTACATTGTTCACAAGATAAATCTAGAGATTATAAATAGGAATCCATAGTGGCAGAAACATCCTGATGTGTTGTGGTGTTGGAGTTACTTGCAACAAAAAAATTACTCTATTATTGCTCTGTAGTCAAAAAACAAGTTAAAATTAAGAGCTGGCATTTTCCAATTGATGTCTTGAATCTAAAAGGTTGAGAACCACTGGATTCATGAGTTTTGAGGTGACTTTGGCACATGCTTTCCTTATCTGTAAAGTGTTCATTAATAAAAGAAGAACAGCAAGAGGACTCAGGTTCTTAGGTTAATAGAAGTTTCATGCTTGAGGAAGTAGAATTCTTTTTCAAGTAGAGCACTAGATTTATGCCCGGGGGGGTGAGTTGGTTGTTTTTTGTTGGAGTATGATAGAACCTGATTACCAAAGCAATTTGCCCCATTTTTTTATTACTGTCATTACAACAAAGCACTGGATGCTTTAACTATAGAGGCAACAGGTAGGTTTTTATCTGAGTGTTTGAATGAGGGGGCAATACTGCATACATTTGTAAGTAGAAGGCTTCCTGCTTAGTCCAATGGAGTTGGACCAGCCCGTGAAGAACTTGCCTCCTGCACAGACAAGCTTTCCCTCATGATAGAAAGTTCTGCTGTGCCTGTGGAGTATTCAGTCCTCCCCACAGGCAGTGTCACAGTTTGACTTGTTCTTAAAGGGGGAACTTCTTGTAGACATGGTGTAATTGTACTTCACCTCTATTGTGGGCTAAACGTTCCTGCAACGTAAAACATTCACTGCTTATCAGTCCGTTTTGCAGCCTTTGCTGTTGGTGTGGAATGGCTTAGCATAGATCTCTGGTACTTGCAGCCAATCTGTTCTGTTGCTGTAGCTAGGGAAATCACTAGAAGGTCATGCTGGCTTCTGCTGGGGACCGGAGTTCTTGCTGAGTAAGCCATAAAGAGAATGCAGAACCCAATTCTTCTTAATTAGCAGAATATTGTATAATGCCCACAGCATGGGATCTGGGACTCCAATCAATCACTCTTGCTTTGGGCAAGCCACGTAAGTGTTCTTTGGTTCAGTTTTACCTCATTCCCCTTTGCTACACAGGGCAGGACAGGTGGCAGTAGGTGTAAAGAATGGCCAAGCAGATTTAGATCAAGGTTTTTCAGAAGGATGTAGGATAGGAAGTATCTGGGATCATTTTATGGAAATCAAATCCTACATTTGTCCTAGAATCATGGAAAAGCAGGGCTGGAAGGAACCTTGTTCAACCTTCTCCTCCAGGCAGGATCATCCCTGTTTCAACCATCCCAGTGTGTCTAGCCTGTTTTTAAAAACTCTGGGAACCACCATCACACACAGATCTCAGGCACAGTGCCCAAAATATCAAATAAACCCTTTAGATTGCTACATATATATCAGGGAGACAAGGGCACTGGCAGGGTCCTGTCACTGCAAGGGCAGGAAATAGTTTGTTAAAATAAGACCAAGAGTGGCTTGTGTGCAGGGGTTTGGACTAGATGGTTTTTGGATCTTTTCCACCCCAGGCTAGATCCATCTTCAGGTTGTGTGAAGAGGTATGAGATTCAAATGAAAAGCACCATGGTCCAGAAAAGACTCACTTTCTTCTCCTCTCTTAGGCATTTCATAGGTGGCTTCCCTCCCTGAGCCCAGGGAGCACCAATGTCGTTGTGACTGGCAAGGACACCCTGACATCAGGCTTGATCAACATAGTCAGTTTTGACCTTCTCAGCAAGATGGACAAGCAGCTCAAAGAGACTTTCCAAGTGATTATTGTTGTAAGTAGTGCCCTGCATCCTTCCTGCTGGATGTGAACTGTCCTGCTGACTTGAGCGTGGTTGGCTGTATCCTCTCCCTGGAGATCAGAGCCCTGGATATGCTCTTTTGGAAGATCAGGCAGATTGTGTTTTGTGCTGTGGATGTCCTACTGAACTTGCTTTGATGGTGCAGTAGGCTTTTGAGTGGTTTGGCTAGAATTTTAGCATTGACTACATTTCTAGTAAGCCAAGTAACCCTTGAAACAGTGTTAATAGTCTGGGATGTGCCATCAAAACACATGTAGCCAAAACTGAGGCGAATAGTATATTCTTCAGCTGGATTGATTTGCTGCTAATGCAGATTGAATGTTTTTGTTAAGTCTGTCATCTCTTCCCTTTCATGGATAGCTGTATAATCTCTTTTCCCCTTTTCAAATACCATGGGGATAGGCATTAATGAAGAAACCTTGGTAGATTTTAATTGATACTAATTTAAAATTCTAGTGTTTCAAATTCAGCCTTGATCAATAGCAACAAAAAATGGCTGTCAGTATCTTTTATACCAAATGCATTTAGTATTCTGTCTTCTTTTCTGTAAATAATGCTCGTGTCCCAAGAACCTCCATGAAAATTGTAATGTGGTAGCTCTTTTGTTGGCAGTATCAGCTGACAGGGTGGGGACTAAGCTTTCCTTTTGCATCCGTGTTGATTTACTGGGTATCCAGGTTAAAGCTGAACTCAAGTCTCTGGCACACATAACAGTTATGGTGCAATTAACATATGTATCCCACCATAAATGCTTAGTGCTACACATTCAGAAGATTTATGACACCATGAAGTTGCAAGACAGCCACAGAGATATTTTACAAAATAGGTGGAACATCTTTGTGGCTCTTTTGTATAGTGCCATAAATTGAATTTGCAGCACTCCCCAACAGTAGATTGTCAGCATTGGCATGGGGACGGGGGTTGGCATTAGGACCAGGACGGTAGGATTGCAATACACTAGTGGCAGGTGAGGGGCTTCTCCTGCTGGCAGCCCCTGGGCCCAGTATTGTTTCCTCCCATACCAGTCACACCACTGCTTTGACATATGCCAGGGGCCTCAGACTGGTACTGGTTGTGACCTGCCTGTTGGGACAGAGGCGAGCTCTCTCCAGGGCCATCAGTCTGGCTCCTTTACTAGCCCTGAAGCAGGGGTGTTTTATTTGTGTACGTTCATATTCAAATACTGTGTCTGTTCTGCAGATCAGAACAGCTCTGCTGTGTTCTTAGCCTCCCTGCTCTCATCTTCCTCCGTCGGCTGGTGCCATTAACAAAGCTTATTGCTCACCAGGGCACTTGAGAAAGCTGTGCCTTGGAGGCTAAGTCCTTCCATGCATGGCTGTGTGCTCACCCGGATGCAGCAAGATGAGAGCATGCCCTTGGAGGGTGCCAGTTTCCTTAGTGTCTTTAAGATCTGCCTCGTGACGGCAGAGGAAATGTAGCGTATTGTGGGGGCAATGTCTCAAGCAGGAGGTGGTTATCCACCTGGCGAGCTTTATCAGCAAAACAGTTGGTTCCTAATTAGATTTCCCTGTTTCTGATGTTTTTCATTAACCCCTTCATTTGAGGAAGCAGAAGTGCATGGAGCTCCCCTTGATTCCTGCATTTAAAGGACACGGAGCAGCAAATAAGTATCAGTGGCAGAAATCCTTATTTTTTTCCCCTCTCTGTTCCCTCACTTAGCTGTGATCATCCGAGATTTACGACTTAAGGTTTGATTTTCCTGCCACTGACTTGCAGCCGCTGATTTGATGGTGAGCCATCCAGCACGCTTCAGGCTGGCCTTACATTCAGAATTTGATGTGGCCACCCCAGTGTTTGTCAGCTCAGAGTATTATGCAGGCTCAAAGTATTAGGCAGTGTGGAACGCTGTCAATTTGTTCTCTATGATGTAGCTGGGCTGTGGAGCGGGACTTCTCTCTAATCACGTTCATGTCTGTTTTGTTTTAGGACGAATCTCATTTTCTAAAGAACATCAAAACAGCACGATGCCGAGCTGCAATGCCGCTTCTCAAGGTGTGTGCCAAGCCCTGCGCAGCCAGCTCCCAAAGCAGGATTGGTTTTTGTATACTAGGCTCAGGAACCAACAGCTTAATTCTGTGGTTGTCTTGGTGGAAAACCAAGGAACTCCACTGGTTCCCAGAGCAAAATTTGTCCCTAAGATTCAACTGCTGATTACTTTGCAGATGATTGTCAGTCTTGTCTAACAAAAGTAGCTTAAAGCACCCAATGGCTGTGACTGTGGGCACTACAGCCCTTATTTCAGTTTCTCACCATCCAAAAGGGTTGAGATGCTTCACACAAAGAATGTAGTGTTATGCTATTAATGTCTGTACAATCTGTTTAAATTCTAAAGTACCAGGTAAGTGCTAAGCATCTATTATATATAATATCTTGGGTCTCTTAACCTCTGCAATACATAGTCAATATGATGGACTCTCTTTCCTGGCTTTCTATGAGGTCCTGATTCTCCAGGCTATCAACCACGTATTTAGTTGGTGTTTAGTACTCCCTTGCTGATACAATTCATATAACTGAGGAACGGCGGGGTTGGAGAGACTTCGAGTGTCATCTGATGCAATCCTGAAGTAGCAGACACTGGCAGGTTACAGCTGAAGTGCACTTTCCTGTAAACTAGGAATTATTGCAATATGCAACATATAGGGACATGCCTAAACCAGCTAGGCCTTTATAAAATCTTTTAACTACTACAGACCTGCCTGGTGTACTGAGCATCAGGAGTGTATCATAGCTATAGAACCAAGTCTGTCACCAGCAGTGGATGTGTGCACACCACTAACTTAGCATGCCAGGCAGCGGTGTGCTCAAGCACACCCATGCTCATTGCTTTCTGAAACAGAAGCCAGGTAGCAGTACTGTTGGTAGTAGTGTCTCACAGCAGTGTCACTTAGCTCACCCACAAATTCAGTGCTTCTGGTTCAGGAGGCAGCCTGTGAGGAGGATGCCTCTATCTGGCATGGCAAGTTTGGTGTGTAAACATTCCCAGTTTGTAGCAGAGAAGGGGGTCTTAGTTTCTTTTCTCTGTGCAAACAGCGCTTGGCAGTGGTTGAATTTATCTTGGGGAGTAAGAGACTTATGATGCTGTTTAGGTGGTGTTAGTGTTGACTGGTTTTTCCTTTGGGAGATTCTAAATAATAAGCATGTGCTGAAGATTTGTTCCTGTTCCAATAATTATGCATCTGTAGATGAACAGAAGGTCTAGATCCTGTCTCTTTCCTCACTGATTTTGAGACCTTTAAAACTTTTAGTATTTGGAAGCTGACCAAGAGCCACAAATTCAAGTGCAGCTTGAAACAAGCAAACTAGGGCGGTTACACAGATGTCCTAACATAGGAAAACTTACAAAGCACATGCACAAATTAGTACTGTACATACTCTTCCATGTGCTACTTTGAGCATCAGGCCTGCTCCAGTCTGTGGGAAGGACAGAATATTCCTACGATGAAAGTGGGGGTTGGTTATCAGAATTTCTGTGCTGGTCTAAAGAGCCTTGTTTGCCTATAATGAAAGATATTTTCCTATAGCTCAAGTACAAGGACCTCTATTTTTGCCTGCTTCAGAGTTTAAGCACTGTTCAGTTAATCATCCTGACTCACAGTTTCACCCGATCAGTGACACGCTCAGAATATTGCCTTGTTCTTCCCTAACTCTGTAAGTATTAGCTTGCAAAAATTATTTTCAGGACCATGATAAAAGAACTGTAGATGAGGTCGTCATAAAAGGAGGCCATGAGCCTATTTAGAATTTACAATTTTATACTGATACATCCCTGGTCACACCTCTGAGAACTGATGCTTCTGGCATGGAATTTCAGTCCTTTGAAGGTGCTGATTTTTTGGTATATTCAAATGCTCCATTTCTTAGCTGCAAATGGTTTGCTTTGTGAAAATTAAGGTCAAAATGCCTACAGCCACTAAATATCAAATATCCGTATAAGTTGCCTTTTCATACTTTCAAATCCTGCTGCTCTATCCTTTAAATTGATGCTGCAAATATTGAATGTTTCTCATTGAAAGGAACAGAAAAAATGAAGTGTTCTGCTAAATCTTACAGTTGTAACTCTAGTCTGCAGTAAGTGAGCACAATAATATATGAATCCAGCTAAAACATGGAAGTGTCCCTGTGTATGCAGTGCTTTGAGACTTCTGGATGAAAGTACTATATTACACAAATTTTGTACTTAAATCGCATAAAATCACACAGTTAGTGATTTTTGTTATGAGTTTGGAATTGGGGGTGAGATTCTCACTCCCTGCCAGGGGTTCCTTCTGCAGCATAAAAGGATCAGAGTGGTAAGTAAGGGGCTTGGGGCCAGCAATAAGGTTGTATGCAGAGGACCCCCTGGAAAACTCTAGCATAGAGGGACGTGAAAGGGGTTGGAAAGAATATGCTGGGGACAGAGTAGCAGGGCACAGTGTTGCAGAAATACTGGACAGTCCTGGCTATCTGCTGGTACCAAGACCACCTTAGCTGTCTAAGCCTTTGCCTCACTGTAAAAGTTTTGCTGCTTTTAATTGTGCTGGTGAGAACTGCAAGTGTAAACACTGCTGTGTTGGTATGAAGACTATAGCATATGCTGTGGCAATGTGAAATAAACCACATAGGTGTAAAGCATCTCAAACATGCTATGATGGTGTCTATATCATGTCTTTTATTGGCATCACTATGTTGACAGAAATCACACCTGTTTCTGATGTCATTTTGTGGGTTGAACTGCTTGCATAGTTCAGCCTAGGTGTGCTGTAGGCCTCTTTCACCTCTAGCTTAGCCTCAAATTGGGAAGGTAAAGCCCTTCTTTGAAGCAGCCTTTGCTTCCTGATTTCTGGGAGGCAAGTTCTGCACTGTGTAGACACCATTATGTATGTGAGACACAGAATCTGCTTATGGGCACTGGAGCAGCTTTCTGGGCTAGCCCAGACAAGTATTTTCCAAGGCACAAATGCTTCGACTTAAGATGACTTATGGGAGAGGAGGAAGAAAAACCTTTTTAAAAAATGTGATTTCTGGTCCTTGTTTCCCATAAAGATTTATGGATCCATAACCACTCTGGCCAGATCTAAATTAAAATGTTTCTGAGCCTGATGGGGTCCCTTCTATGGGCACTTAATGTCCCTTTTCATCTCACTACAATTTGAGGCTGTGGCTTCTATATTTGGAGTGACCATTAAAATATAAAAATAGTTATGGTTGTTTAGATAGAGCTGTCCGATAATCAGATGAAATTGATGCATTCCCCATAAATATTAACTTTCATATTAATTTTGAAATCACCTTGCTAGAAAGCAGGGTTCGATATCTGCTTCTGAAACATGCACGGTGGGTTACGGTTTTTTGAAGCCTTGCTCTTAATCTTTAATATCTGGAGACATTGATCATTTTTCAAGCTAAAGTGGTATTTCTGCCAACTCGGCTATAACTTCTCATTTGCTGTTCTCATGTATATATTGCCATGGAGCTCAGTTAGGACAACGATGTATGGAATTTTCAAGGGTCGCCATGTATTAAACATGTGGTGTAACTCTGGCTGTTGCAGATCTTCAGACGTAATCCTTCACATCGAAAATTCTTCTTTGTGTCCTGTATTACATTTAGGATCCCATAGGAAAGATCTTTTTTTTTTTTAGCTGAGTGTCAGGGACAGATGGGGAAGAGTTTTGTTAGCCACACGTTGGCCTGGGAAAAAAGGAGAACCCACAAGGTGATCATGGAAGCCGGCTTATAAGATAGTGGTGCCCAACCTGTCAGCCCCACAGGTCAGATGAGTGGTGCAGGGTTGGTCCATGGGCCAGATAGGCCTGCCCACAGACTATTTGGCATGTGGCCCCGGCCATGTGTATCATATCAGGCCCTGGCTTTGGCCCAATGGTCCATATCGGGCCTTGGACTTCATGTCGGATGGTGGCTGTGGCCTTGGCAAATTTCTGGATCAGCAGGCTGGGTGACATGACTCCATGTGCTGGATCTGGCTTGCAGGCTGGAGGCTGAGCAGCACTGTTTTAAGCAAATGGAGGGTATATAGGGTGATATAAGCTGAAATATCAGCAACAGGGTCTCTGGGGTCTTGGCTTCTCTTGCTCTTGGTTTGCATTTATGCATTTGAGGTAGATTTTACTGCCTGTCAAAGCCAAAGCAGTTAACAGGCTTTGCGTGCAGCTGGTGTGTACCCTTGCCACTTATCGAAATGGGGTTGAAGCCTCATGGGAAAACTAGATCTTTAATCTGTTGGCATGGAGCAATATATCCCTTTTTTCCATTTTCAAGCTCTGCCATGACCTGTACCAATCTGCCCCAGCAGCACTGTGGTCTGCCTAGAGGTTCGTCGTTTTTGCTAGTACTGTGTGTGCTAGGAGCCTCTTATGGCCATATGAGTCCTTGTGGCAAGCTGGTCAATTGACTGCATATTTTTTGACTGACCAAAGATTATAGCAATTTTACACACACAAAAAAGACCAAACTTTTTTGGTAATTTTGACAGAAATATGATTTTTTTTTTAATTTGACATATTTCTTAATGGAAAGGTTGTGCTTTTTCTGTGTAGTATTTAGACTTATTGGCAATTTAAAAAAAATTGACCAATATTTGACTGCTCAATTGATCAAACTTTATTTGACCAGTTAAGTACCCAACCCTAGTGTTCCTTGTTTTAAAGAGGTCATACTCTCCACATCAGAGTGAAGAGAACCTCTTAGTGTGAGACTTGAAATGCTGGGTGAGCTCTATTTAGCCTGTATCAGGATTTGCTTTTATACCCCCACCTCTGGCAGTCATGAGCTAGGGTAGCTATGTCTACCACCATCTTGCCATTCATTTCAACCTCTTGCCCAGGGGCTATTGTCTCCTCGGGTCACCATCAGTATTTGTGCTTGCCTTTCCAGGGCCAGTGATAGGAGACTCCTTGTTGCCTCAGCTTCTTTCTTTCCTAAGTCTTGACTGCCCGTGCAACTGGTAAATGAACCCTGAAAACTGAATGTGTATGCTACTGGGTAGCACAGAC